ATATATATATATATATATATATATATATATATAAATAAATATGTATATATTTATATTCATATTTATATGCTATGGACTACACTATTATTACAATCAAGGACATTAATGAATTTATTGAGGAAAGGAAAATTTGCCAGGAACATGCTTTTTATTCAAAGACAGAGCTTTATTAGAAGAAACACAAACACACAACTATGTACAAATCTGCCCACACAACAAACGGGAAGCTCAGGAGAAGGCCAAAATCCTACAGCACCGTGAAGTGTCTGTCTGCTGCCTCGAAGCTGTAGGTAACTGGTGGCATTTTGTCCGAATTTGGTCCATTTTGCAGACGTCTGTGGTGCGTTCCCCTGTACTTGGGAATTGCCTCTAATCTCGACTGCAGCGAGGCACAGAGCTCGGTGAGCTCCTGGCTACGAAAGACTGGAGGTCGCACAATCCATCCAGACACCCCACCAGCGATGCCGTCTTCTTCATTGGACATTAGGTCTATGGTGGCGCACTTCCAAAGGTCCACCTCGTCATCGGCAAGTACACTCTGTCTTGCTTCCAGCAGCTGTAAAAACATCAATAAAGACAATCAGTACTGTGCGATGCACTGCGTATGGACACAACACATCTGTTAATGCACCTGAAAAATAGCCTCTTTAACTCCCCTCAGACCGGCGTCCACACTCCCTCCCTCCTCTGTTAAATGGCATCTCACAGGCGCACTACGTCATCAAACCATGTGATGTTTGGTATCACTGGATTCAGGAAGCTCTCGGCTTCCTGAATCCGGCATCGTTTTTCTTTTATTCCTTATGGGTTTCGCATCAGAGCAGCCTAAATACACGAAGTCCAAAATCGCGATGAGTGGTGACAAGCCATGTCATGCCGTTTTTCGAGGGGAAAAGTTATTACTCACGATCTCATGCCGAGCCGTCAATGGACATGTAGCTGGTTTATAAAAGGTAAGAGTCTCACTCCTACCACTATTTTTGGCTGAGATATACCGTCTAGAATGTGGGATCATAACTTTCACGTTTCATTTGGCTTTATTTTGTGATATTTTATGGTGTTTCTGTCATAAACAACATCAGCTATCATAATCACACCTGATTTCAATAAGGTACGATGTTTGAAGCTGGCTGAGTGTTGTTCGATCACTGACAGTTCTGTTTTGAAGCAGAGTGAGCGCTCTTGTCATGTGGAGCTCCGCCTGGATCTTTTCATGGTAAAAACACTGTAGAATGGTCATACTTTGAGCAGTCTTCTTCAAATTTGAAACAAGTGTTCATTGATAGTGTGCCTACAGCCCCACAGTGTCATTTACTTGTTCAGATGAAGCCACAGATAGTTATTCATCCTGAAATACATTTTTTATTTTATTTTAGGCAAAATCTTCAACTTTTTACTGACTTCAGAGGCCCATTACTCTGTCTCTGTATCACCTAGAGTGTTTCTGAGACTTTCATAAGAAACTTCAGAGAGTTTGCTTTCTGGCAAGACCTCATGCATGCATGTAGTCAGAGCGGTTCAGAGGCTACAGTCATTTTAATTTGGGTATGTCATTTTAGGCGTTTTTGCTACAAAATGGGGGTGGAGTGCAAGAGGATAGTCACACTGACCAAAAACGGATCTAATCTAATAAGTCTTACCCTCTTTCTTCTCGATCGACTCCGAGCTGAACTCTTCACAGTTTCCGCCTGCGATGCGAGATCTGGCTGTCTGTACCTGAAGCTCCTGCATACTGTCTCATAGTATGTCTTACAGGCAGCTGGAAAACAATTAAATGAGAGTGGTATGAATAAAAAAACATAAGTCACAGTAAAACTAAACAAGGAAGGAACAGGAACAAAACAGTTAAAGTTACTTACACACAATGGCGTCACTAACAGCGTCATGTAAATCTGGACTTGCTGACATAGCTCCGAGCAAATAGGAGGTCACGGCCTCGTTATGAGGCGAGGTTAGTCTGTGAAAACAAAATAAACGGTTAAGCTCTGTATCTATTAACGTATCTATTTCCTTATACAGCAGAATGAAAGCATATTCTTTAAATCTTACGCTTGCTCCGGTTCGTAGCGCCTACAATTTGTCTCCGAGTTGTGAAGACAGCGTACTGCTTCCTGTAAATTACAAGACCAAAAACATACACTTTTACAGCTTACACTGGTTCTGCTCACTTGTTCTTTTACAAGGCTACTAGGCTACTTATAGTTTAGCTAGCAGTCACCGAACATATTCTTACCGCAATCTTGGGATTGTGCACCCGTCTCTTCTTCTTAGAGTTAGTCTCTTCCACACACTTTTTTGACTCCAAAGCAGCCAACCTATCCTCTATGGAGAGCAACCTGGAGTTTACTACAGTGAACTGCTCATTCACATCGGCAGCAAGCAGAGTAAGCTGACGAGACAGTCCACTGATAGCATTCAGCAGTTTCTTCTCGCCGGTCTGCGGACTGCCTGAAAGGAGTTGATCGTGTCCATGCAGAGGAGTTGAAGGTGAGATGCCGTCCAGCCATTGTAGTTCACGAAACGGCAGTTAAAACACAGGAAATGGAGGAAAAGGTCTGAGTACAAGAATAAAAACATGTCTGTATATGCTCGTCTTGCAGGTACTGCTGTATGAGTCATGCCCATGACTTTGCATGTGATTGGACGAGGTGCCCATGACCTCGTCCATGATTGGACGAGGGCTCCTCGTCCAATCACGTGCGAGGTCACTGTTATACGGAAGAACTCGCGAGACGAGCTCGCATATGTTTATGATATAAACAGGCACGGTGTACCTATGAAGCTCTGTGATATAAACACGGTGTGCAGTCAGTTGAAAGATGGAAGTCCCGAGACTGAAGAAAAGACCTCGGTGCCTCTGTGAACATTGCAACACTGGACTCTGTCATACACAGTATTTTTGATCACAGAAAGCGCTATTTCAAAAATGGAGTTTGGGAGAAAAAATCCAAAAGGGCCAAGTCGGATAACGTACAGAGCCTGCTACTATCCTGTCATGATATGCCATTGCTAATGACATACACAGTAATTAATCTTACATACTTTCATTGAATAAATCAATTCAAGCTAAAATTTAGAGTCTATAATTAGGCTATATTGAGCCTGATCTATTTATACCAGAGATTTTCTAATGAAGTTAATACCTTTTAGAAAAATGGAACCTGGGGTAAAACTCCCCCTGCTACCCTGATTTGCATTTGTATAGCTCACAGCATTTTCATTTACATGTTAAAGCCTCCCCTAGAATTAGGGGGAGGGGGGTCATGGGGGGACAACTGCCAAGCAAGGCCCGCGTCAATTTCCGACAATTCACGGCAGTTTTCGGTGTTGCCTGCAAATTGCCGTGTGCAGTCGTAAACATGAACTTCCACGACAATCTACAGTGCCGCTTACTGACAAAAATCCCACTTTTCATGCAGTGAAGGTTACACAAGAAGAAGAAGCAGCAGAAGGACACTTCTCTCGACAGCTGAGCGGAGCTGCGGAGTCCGCAGTCCACAGAGCCTCTGAGACAAACTAAACACTTGCAGGCTCCTCCACTTCATTTAAAAACATACATAAACTTTATTAAGTTGTCATAATGCATGTTACAATGCAAGATAAGTTGAATATAGTCCCTTGACAAGCCGCTGATTTGAAAAACATTAAACTCCAATTGAAGGGCCTCTTGAATTAGTGGTATAGAGTGTCTGATGTATAACAGTATCATCACCATATAATTGTACACAACAGTTAGAGAAGCAGAGTGGGAGATCATTTATAAAAATTGAGAAAAGAAGTGGTCCTAAGGTAGAGCCTTGAGGGACACCATTCTGCTGAATAAGTAGGTCTGATTTACATCCTCTCAATACAACACATTGCTTTCTATTGTGAAGATAAGAATTAAACCACAGTAGCGCATGTTGGGAGAGACCAATTGCATGAAGCTTGTCTAACAGAAGATAGTGATCAACCAGATCAAAAGCTTTGGTGAGATCAATAAATATTGCTCCTGTGAGATGACCACGATCAGAAGCAGATAAAGTATCATTGGTAAATTTTAATTTTAAGAGCGCAAACAATATTATTGATATTAAGGTACTGTAATAATTGTAATTGTGATAATAGTTGTAATAATTTTCTCAAATACTTGGGCAATGGCACAAATAATTGAAATAGGTCTGTAGTTATTAGGGTCAAGTGTGTCGCCACCCTTGTGGAGAGGAGTTACACGTGCACATTTCCAAATAGTTGGAACTACACATGTACTTAATGAAAGATTAAACAGGTCAGCCAATGGATAATTAAGAATAAGAGATGCTAATTTAATGAACTTGGTTTCAATCCCATCTAGTCCAAGACCACTGCTCTCTTTTAGGTCACAAATTGCACTGCAGACATCAACAGGAGTTATTGTATGAAAATAAAAATGACTTTGACAAGGTGTGATGAAATTAGAAGTCATGTGTACAGTCTGAGGAGTTAAGCTGGAACAGAGGAAAAATGTTGATTGAGCTCACATGCAATAAGTGACGGATCTATCAGCATTGTGTCTGCAGCTCTTAGTTGACTAATAGAGCATTTTTCTGAAGTATGAAATGTTTTTTATTTTACTCCAAAATTGTTTAGGATTTTTGACATTTTCACTTAGATATTCTTAATAATCAGATTTTGCATTTCAAACTTGCGTCTTGCTGATATTTCTTAGTTGTCTGTATGCTTCCCAATCATCATGTTTCCTTGACAAACGAAATTTTGATCATGCTTCATCCCTCTGTCTAAAAATGGATACAAGTTCAGAATTGATCCAAGGCAAATAGAGTGTGCCAGTAAACCCGGAACTCCGTTAGCGCTTTTAGCACTTCTGGTTCTCTCGTGAGTTTCAGGTTTCGTTCTACGACATAAAACACGTCAGTAAATACCCTACTTGTGAATTTTGAAGCTTTTACGTGTCATAAAAAAGGCGGTTGCTAACAAGTTGCTCAATACGACTACAAACCCTGTCGGGGACATTAAATGTCATCACCCCCAAACAGGCGAGAGTGCTGGCAGTCCGCCATTACAGCTTCTTATTTAGCTTAAACAGTCTGATTTCCCCATTATACAATGCTTTTAAACTAAAGTGACCGAAGTCACTGGGCTTGACGCTAATTTTTTTCCCAAGGAGCACATGTGCTCCTAAGTTGAAAAAGTAAGTTTTTATGCACACATGTGCCCCTAAATATTTTTTACAGTTCGCACACACCTATTTTTAGTCGCAAATGCGAGTGAAACACTCGCACTGTCGAGCCCTGAATCAGTTGAAAGCTTAGTGGCGGTGACGTCAAGAGTCATGCGACCATGGAGTAGTCATGTAGTCCGTTAAAGCCTAACGTTAGCTTTTTACTTCTGGCGATCGCATTTAAACTTCAAATGCGGTATGAAAGGTGTTCATATGTGAAGATTATCTCACAGAACAAAACCTGTAAGTATCAGAAACTTGTGTAAGCCACAGAGCTTATTTTCTGACATAATCCAAAACGCAATGCAAAAATCACATTCACTTTCTCTTCCAGGAACCAGCGCGATGCTAAACTTCCGGGTTTTGACGTCAGCCCTGGCACACTCTGTGTCTGCCTTTAACTTTGGCCATTTTCCACGGAGCGTGTTTGTCAATCACGGCCATGAATTTAGAATAAAAGAAATCCCATGCATTTTGAACATCAGGTATTAATTAAAATCTTTCCCAGTTAATGGAAAATCAATCATAAATAAACATATTAAAGTCTGACAGAACACCAGCATTCGTGATGTGGATGTGAAACAAATATCCAGTCAAGTAAAGACTGAGAGGATGGAGTGACTCTTGTAGGTTCATTAATTAACTGTGTAAGGTTCAAATTTGAAAAAACATTTTTGTCTCTACAGGAGGACCTATCTAACCAGTTCTTATTAAAGTCACCCAAAATAATAATTTCATTACTACAGTCGATGGAGTTAATAGTTGAACTCAAACAATTAGATGATTCTGCTGGTGCGGCTGGGGGTCTGTATACATTTCCAATCATGATATACTTATTCTAGTGTAGAATTAGTTTAAAAAAAAATACACTCAAAATATTTTGGGTCTGTATGAGGAATTATTAGTTCAGAAGACAGGTTTGATGAAACATATGTAGCCCCACCACCACCTCTGCTGCATCTGTCAGCTCAATATAACACATAATTTGGTAGTTTGATTTCAGTGTCAGCAATTTTGCTACTCAACCATGTTTCTGAGAGTGTAATAATACTTGGTTTGTGAAATGCAACCCATGCTCTGATTAAATCAATTACGAGTACGAGGCTCCTAATGTTCAAATGTATAATTTTTAATCCTTTTGTTTTATCCAGTTTCCAAACAAGTCATAACTAGCACTGTCACTGCTCAAACATAAGTTGAGGTTATTGTTGATCGACAGATATATGAAAAGGTTGTACACGTAACACACATGAATAACAGATACACAAGACAACATGAACCACATCACAAACACAAGTACATTAAATTGCAGCCCAACACTTGACTAGAAAAGGAAAATATATCTATATATCTATAAAAACTCAGGTAATATCTACAGATGAAAGCTCATGGGAGAAAATGAAGGAGCATCTCTAGAAACAAGAGTGTATGAAAAGGGGGAAAAAGAGAAGAGAGAGAATAAATAAATAAAGAGTATAGGAGGCATACCCTATATACCTATAGTCACGTATTTCTAATATCTCATACTTTGAGTACACATACGTAATTCATTAAAGTATGCAGCATAAACGTCAGAATGAAGGAGGAAAAAGGAGAGTCAATAGGTTACAGTAAAGCGGCGTCTTTACGACAGTCAGTTTTCATGACTATTGCGACCTCATTTACGGGCGAAAAAGTAAACATGCCAAAAACTGAGTATAACTAAAGCCCGGTATACACTGTACGATTTTTAAAATCTTGTTGTTAATACCAGCTCACACTGTACGAGTGAATTGTCTGCGATGTGCGGCCAAAGCTCAAGATTTATGTGGTCACACTGTATGTTCCGATTATCAAGCACGATCAGAGAGCTCACACTGTACGGGTGAAAACGGCTCGTTGGCCCTGCTGAACTGTCCTGCCCGTTGACAGCTGTCAATAAAGATACATTTGAAAGTTCCAATTTGTTCCAGGAGTGCCGTTGTTGTCAACGAAGCAGGAAAAGCGGTTTGCTTTGATGATTTGCGCTATACTGTGTGCCGAAACGTCCAAAAAGAAGAGGCATCAGCGCATATGGACTCGCAGATGGCTTGAGAGACATGGACAGTATGGTTTGACCATTTTACAACGAGAGTTGGAAGTAAGCCGGCTACAGCCGGGTGCACCCTCTGTGTGTGTGTGTGTGTGTGTTATACCTCGTCTAGCGCACTAGCTTGTATGTTGCTTGC